CTATTCAATAACAAGGTTTCTGCCGTGTCTGAATGTTGGCTTCACGACTGCTTAAAGTGATGGAAATAAGAGTTTATTCATGTGAAGAAGCCACAGAAGAGATGAGTGTTGATGAATATATATAATCGCCAGTTGGGGTCTTGAATGTCTCATGCTCCAACAGTCACCGTATTATTTATATCTGTAAGTGAAGCAAAACAAAGAAGCATAATTAGCACACTCCGGAAAGACCAATACAAATTTTAAAAAGTAAGTATGTCTTTGGCGAAGAGATTAAGACGAAGAAAGGGGGAATTACAATATACGATGCTATAGGTTTACGATAATGGCTCGCAAAGAGGGTGCTCACTGGTGTTGAATTGCCTACAATGTAAATTTCGAAGCAATGACCACAACTAAAAGCGGTTTTAAAACTTGTGAAAAACTAGCGCTGTGTCTGTGTGTTGTGCTGCTCTCAATCTGGCTTTTACAGTGCGCTAAAAAAGAATATGAATGGCCAACACGCCAAGCCTGTGCTCTGTCAAGGAAGCTAAAGAACTCTCCTAAATGACGTATACCCGATCTCGACTTGTTAAATATTGTGCAAATGTATACCTGCAAGGGCATCTCCACAGTGCTTTTTAGTTAACCCTCCTTTTAGAGTCAATGTCCCTGGCTCAGATTTTTCGTCTACCTAGAGTAGTTTGTTGACGTGAAGCAAGCTTAGTGTGCGATCATTTATGGTTTGGTTAGGCTTAAATAGGTTAATAAAAAGCTCATCTTTCTGGCTGTGTTTTATTTTGATTCGTTATCGCAGCAACACAGATCACACTCTGCACGTGGAAAGCCTTATTTATCTACCATAATTGCATATTTGTGGTTAACAACATCACAGTCTCGCTAACCTGGTCGTGATTATTGATTGGTGGTAATGTCTGATTGTACTGTTGGGGAGATAAATATGTTCCCGATGTCATTCCAAAATATGAAAGCGCTATGCGAATAAATACGGGGATAACACAAGCCGATAATACTCACAAAGAAGTGTGAGGCGATATCCAACTTGTCCAGTCGGGGCACAAATGGCGCCAAGCGTTCTTCCTGACACTAAATGAGTGATAAAGGACGAATAGGTCAAAAGTACAGAGCAAAATGTTCTACAGTAATCACGTGATTGCGCCTTAGTAGTGAGAGCGTTGATAGGAACATCAGACGCAGGTTTATCTCGAAGCCTGGCACTCAGCCATTTTACTTAGACTTCACTGGGTAATGCCATCTCAAGGGAAAGACGGTGTGCTATAGTCCTATCGGTGACCATACGTGCCTTACTTAGTGAAGCCACGTGACTGTAACGAAATAAGTGCATTATTTCGGACTGCTTGCATACTTACGTGAGGACGGAGCCAAAGCAGGCTGAGTCAAAATGAAACAGTCTAATAACGTAGTGACATTTCCGGCCTCTCTCTCTCCACACACACACACACACACACACACACACACACACACACACACACACACACACACACACACACACACACACACACACACACACACACACACACACACACACAAACGCGCGCGCGCGCACGCACACACACTTTTATGGGCTAATTACGACAGGGATAATGTCGTTACTTGAAACGACGCCTCCAGCTCAATGTGATAAAAGAAAAAAGACATTGCTTCCGTATCGCTTTATGATCCCCGCCGTGCTTTGTGGGCCGGTGTGTTCAAACATAAGTGATACTTACCTGAACCTAACAAAAAAAGGGGGTGTCGTTTTTGTTAGTAGCTGTCCGTGCAAGAGATACACTAAGCATTGAACTTACGACGCTTAACGACCGTATCTCGCATCATATAAGTTCAGAAAAACGAGGCCTTCGAGATTGCTTTCCACTGCTGACTGAAGTGTGCAATACAGGCTCTACAGATAGGCACAGATGAAAACAAGTACCCCTTTTTCCACAACGTAGATAAGCAAGAGTGTTTTTAATTGCACTGAGGAGTTTAAATTGATAAAATACGATTGTACTGCGAAATATGAGCATAAACTCGGCAGCTAAAGCTCAATATATTGTTATGAGTGAATGGTTTTTTTTTTACAGATCAGCTGAAACGGCATGAGAAAAGAGCAGCCTACTTTCGAGGCAAGGCAAGTCAAGTTCACCCAACCACACAGTTCGGGCGATGGATACTCTTCTTCTTTTGAGCCCCGTACAATTGCGCATTTCCGTTGTATTTTCCCTGGGGCCAGACGAAGCTCTTCGAGTGAGTTACATATGTCTCTGATGGTACTGCTAGAGGCAGGATACGAGAACAGCTGGCGTAACGTGCGAACGCCGGTTATTAGTTGTCACTCTGGTGGTTACGTAATTCACGTCACTGAGACAAGCGGCCATAACGAATGGGCGGGAATAGCTCGCTAGAAACTCCCCGTAAAATCATTTTCTACGAACAGGATTCCACAGCTATACATAGTCGCCAGAAGAAAAAAAAAATTACGAGGATATGCTTGGCATCGTAGCGGCTCTTACTTTGTTCTTGCGAGGACAATGTTCGAAGATGTGCTATATAGTAAACGCGCTTTTTCGGCACGACGCAATGTCTTAGCGATGGAAACAATTTCTTGATGCGAGAAAGGTAATAGAGTTTCGAGAAAGCTCCGAGGATTTCGTGCGTAAATCAGAAAAAAAAGTTGGCAGATCTCACGTACTGTGGGAATCAATGCTATGCGAAGCACGAATGATGAAGGTTGATATGCCACTTTAAAATCAGCACAAAGTTACGAGGCGGACGTAAATTATGCCGTACATAACTTCCATGCCAAGATTATCATGTTTGCATGTGTCATTTATCTTCGTCGTCTTTTCAAGTTACGTGATACCAGATTGTAGTATTACGTGACGTGATATGTGCAGCTAGCGAAACGGCCGTGAGCACGCTATGAGTGTGGCATGTAGTCATGATTCACATCACACGCATGTCATGTTATCATGTTTGGACGTGTCATTTACCTTCGTAGTCTATTCAAGTCATGCTATACCACATTTGGTATACGTGGAGCTAGCAAAACGGCCACGAGCGCGCGATGAGCGTAGCATGTAGTGATGTTTTATCTGACATGCATATCAAGATTATCATGTTTGGACATGACATTTACCTTCATCGTTCTTAACGTCACGTAACACCAAATTTAGTATATGTGTAATTAGCGAAACAAGCCGCGAGCACGCTATGAGTGTAGGATGTAGTTACATGACACGCATATCGTGATTATTGTAATTGCATGTGTCATTTACCTTCGTTGTCTATTCACGTCACCTTATACCAAATTTGGTACAAGTGGAGCTAGCAAAACGGCTGCCAGCGCGCTATGAGTGTAGCATGTAGTCATGTTTTACATGACACGCATGTCATGATTATCATGTTTTGACGTGTCATTTACCTTCGTCATCCATTCAAGTCTGATAATACCAAATTAGGTATATGTGAAGCTATCGAAACGACCGGGAGTGCACCATGAGCGTGTCGTGCAGTCATGAAAAGCCATAACATAAAAATCATGACATGCATGTCATGGTTTTATCATAAGGGACTGTCGCTTATGTTTGTCATGCAGTTCTGTCATACCATACCAGTTTCGCAAAATGTAATGTGAACGAAGGCACCTCAAGAGCACCAAGACCATGAAATGTAAATCATGGTATTCATCTCGTACATGTCACGATTTTTTTGTCTTGACTAGACAATTATATCGTCATACTGTCATGTTGTGCCATACCTATTTTGTTATTGATAACATTGTCGAGACGGCCAGGAGATTGATTGATTGATATGTGGGGTTTAACGTCCCAAAACCACTATTTGATTATGAGAGACGCCGTAGTGGAGGGCTCCGGAAATTTCGACCACCTGGGGTTCTTTAACGTGCACCCAAATCTGAGTACACGGGCCTACAACATTTCCGCCTCCATAGACGGCCAGGAGAGCTAAAAGTCGTAAGTGGCTAAGTAGATAGATAGATATAGATAGATAGATAGATAGATAGATAGATAGATAGATAGATAGATATAGATAGATAGATAGATAGATAGATAGATAGATAGATAGATAGATAGATAGATAGATAGATAGATAGATAGATACGCTCAAAGTCACCGAAGTTCGCTAAGAAATGCTTCGCATTGAAAAAAAAAAACTGAATATCCTGTAACTTCATGTTTGACGGTGTTATATGCGTAAATGATGACCGGTAAGACAATGTCCTAGTTCCTGTGGTGAGCATCAATGTACATCAATAGGTTATTCGTAAGAGTGTGATTCGTTCTCAAGGTCAGCCCGTTTGTTTGTGGATGGCAAGGGGTGGAGTGGAGATAAGAGAAGCCACAAAGGAGCAAATTTTTTTCGACCACGTCGGCGATAGATTGCCGTCCACGGTTACTGATGACTGCCCGTGAAGCACCAGGATGCAATAGGAGTCATTGTAGCAGAAGAGAGGAAACAGCGACTGCTGTGGCCGATGTCAGTGCGTCTGTTTCCGTATAACGAGGTAGATATCCACGCACACTATAACGTATATGTGGCTGGATGGGGTCTTGAAGTAATCCGAGCAAGTCGATGCCGACTTTTTCACAAAAAAAAATGTCGGTGGTGAAGTGAGCTGCTAATAACCTGCTAGATCAGTTGTGATTTGCTTGTGGCGCTGGCATATAGCACAGCTGGCGACGCACTGTTTCGAGGTTGTCCAGATTTTCGGCCAGTGTAGAACCTCTCATGTAGCGGTGTTGCGTACGTGTGAAACCGAGATGACAGGATTTTATGTCGTCGTTAATAGAACGTATCGTATATGTGCCGTGGGCTAACCAATTGCGCCACTGGGGAACACGTTAATAGAACGAAGAAGGACCGGGCGCACACTTCGGCACCACTAGAAGCAAGAGAAGACCATTGGGGGAATAGTTCCTATTGCACAGCAAACCATTTGAAATTATAAAATGCTTGTCGGCGGAGTTATGAGCAGCTTACAGCAAGGGTTTCAGGATAGGGTAGCGTTGTTGCTGACGTTTGAAGATGCTGATATCTGGGAAGTCGGAAGATACAGAAACCAAATAGTCATTAATGTTATCGTCATCAGCATTGGTGTGTACTGAAGATAGGGGGGATAAGCAGTCGGCATCTGTGTGACAATGTTATCTTTCATACTTAAAGTGAAAAGTTCGACACTAGACAGTTTTACGTAGATATATAACTGAAAAATCTGAAGGCCCCACTTTGAAGACAAAAGCACCACAACTTTGTTGCATGCGCGTTCTTACTCGGAACAAAAGTTTGGAGCCACATTAACTGAAATCAATGAGGTTTGAATAGAATGCGATTGACTTTGTCTGGCTTAAGTAATAGCTACTGTAAATGTCGCTATGTAACTTTTTCGGTCGCGTACAAGATCAACACATCTAAGGTAGAGGCCCGTTGGGGAGGGGGGTATCAAAACAATGTACGCAAATTGAACCTCCCGTTACTCGTGCAACGCGTGGTAAGTGGAAGTGAAGATCAATACGGTTTGATATGACTTTGAGGAATCGGCTGTACGCTGTCAAAAACACCAAGGATAAAAATTTGCTAGTTGGTCTATTGATATATATATTGTCATATTGGAAGCTATTCGTTAAGTAATGCATATCTTCAGTCACGCGTTGGACATAGCGATAGTTTTAGGATAATACAAAAGAAAAAAAAAAGCTTGGCCAGAAACTTCGCGGGAAGAATTGAAGCAGAACGCGCAACAAGTGTAAACGGTATCAGGAATACGTCTACTTTTCTAGTTGTTTCGTACATAATAGTCTGGAGGGGCAGTGCTTTCTTTGGAAATATAAATAAGTTTTAGCACAGGTCACTGGAACATTAGACAAACTAGACAAGAAAACATGCTTACAAGAGCACTCTTCCGATATTCCCACGATAGCCAGGTAAAGGGGGCTGCAGGGGTCACCTGCAAGGAAAAGTTGATTGAATCAACAGAGAACAGAAGAACATCGATACATTTCGCACGTGCTAAGAAGCTAACGTGAGGTAACGAGACAGTAATAGGTAACCGACACGGACGTGGCGTCTTTCTGAGTTCCGCAATTGCTTCCGTGATGTGCATGGAGCAAAACAATGGCGTCAAGATCAGCGTTGTCTCATTCGGAAGGCACTGACGTCACAGGCGCGTCTTTTGGGCGTAATGTATTCGCGTTCTATAGGGAAACATCTTACATGCCTCGTCAAACGTGAAACGTGATCCTCGGAGTCGGCGTGAACCCGAGTGGCGCGAAAAGTCCTCTCCTCAGGTGGACGTCACCCACTGACGTCATGAAGATGTAGTAGATCACCAAAATTAGTGACGTCATAAAGGCGTTCATAACGTGACGCCATGCAATGTAGTAATCACATGGCATCGTCACTTGGGTAAAGATGCATACCGATCCCCGAGGCGCCGCAACAGTACATAAAGGGCAGAAAGCTTCTGATGCCTTCGTTCTCAGAGGCAGGGCAGGATGACCTTGGATGTAGAACATTTTTGGGGGAGGGTGAGGCATCAGTACAATCGACTGAAATGAAAAAGATGGCTTTCACACTTGAACCCTTTAGGGCAAATGCATAAAACACTGTTCGACTTAGTTCGAGCTGTCTCGATTAATGCTGCTGGAGACATTCATGCGTCGGCAAACACCGATGCTGCACTTATAGGCGAAACGTGCTAGACAGACTTAATGCAAAGAGCGAGTGCATCGTAAGGTGGGAAAACGTTTATTCGTGCACACGGTGGAGCTGTCTTAATTCATATCCAAATTGAAATTTTCCTATATATTTAGATGCCTTACGAGATGAAAACCTGTACTCAGCTGCAGCTAGACGGTGGCCTGGAGGTCAAACGCAAGGCATCTCATGACATAATGGTGCAACTTGTGACCCACCTCGACGTGCAGCCCAAATCACGAACAGAAACAAATCAGCAGATAAGAAAGTCCTGAAGTAACACATGGTCAAAATATAAATAATGTAGTACGTCACACTGAAATACCGTGCCTTATTCCCGATAGCCCATTTTAATTCACATTACCTGATATCGAATAAATTATTTCGGGAATAGGTTATATGAGGAGTCTCTACGAAAATTGTTAAAATATACGACTGCCATTGGCTTGGTGTTCATTTCACATAGATGCTGGCAGTGCTAGAATGATAATTTATGGGGTTTCTTTCGCCAGAGTACCGACATGGTTGTAAGGCAAGTAGTAATTTGAACTGGCGAGCCTAAAAATGCCTGAGGGCTCAGGCGTAGTGGTGAACCTTTGCTGAGTTTTGTCTTGAAATGAAGGGTATTCGGGCCACACGGAGCCAAATAGAGCCGAAAGTACGAAGATTAGACAAATCTCTGTACTACCCATCATTCCCATGCTGGCTGAAGCACCATGCGTTGCAGCTCCTATAGATACTAGCGCCAGAGTTCCCTCTCGTGTACTTATATGAAACTCCATGCACAGGACTCTGGCACCTCGCCGAATTAGAAATGCAACCATTGCAGCGTGAATCGAAGCGAAGTCTTCCGAATTAGCAGGACAGGACCATGACGGCCGTGCTGTCTGACAGAAAGGCAGTGTTGGAAAAGAAATGACACGGTACACGGTAAGGTCTAAACGTGGCTGTGGGGAGGGACATAAAAGACGCCGTCGCGATGAGCGCCCATCTGGGCTCGCTTACCTTTGCAGGACGGCCTGAACATTAGCTCTGCAAAGAGATAGAAATGACGTTGCTCAAGTTAGACATTGCGAAATGAGGCGCTTGGGTATGCGTGGGAAAAACCTTCGGATGTCGTGGCTACGTATGTGGTGACAACGCAGACGATGCGCACTAACCCGTCGTCATAAGCGTTCAGAGAATCGAATAATGAAGTTTCGCGCTTAGACAACAGCCTACTTTAGGTATTGGATATATATTGAATCACTGATATTTTGCAAAAAAAACGAAGATACAAAACAACAGTACAAAAAGAAAACAATGTTTTCTTTTTGTACTGTGACTTGAATAGGGTGGCGCATAACGTGCTTTAGAAAAATGATGGACTGTTAGCAAAAATTAATTGATTGAGATATCTCTTCGAACAGGCGTTGGCACGAGGTATAGCCTTCTGTCAAGAATGTGGCACAAGTATAATGAATAATTTTTTTATGTTGTTATGGCTCCTGCCTTCTGAGAAGGCAAAGTACGATGCGTCGAACGCTTAGTCAATTACGCTTCTCTGAACTATTAAGGAACCTCGAGTTCCGCAAAAACTCCTCAGAAAGCTCTAGCGTAAGTCCAAGCGGAAAAGTCAATTTGTCACCCTTTTGTCGTAGAATTAACATACTTCCTGTTTGTATGTCACGCTCTTGACTTTCTAAGCTGACAATGCACAAAGTTCCCAAGGTCATGCGACGTGTTACACACGGTGATGTCCAAGAAACCGTTTTTGATCCGTATTGCATTAACATACTCCTACCTGAAAACGTTTTATTACAGTTACTGTTGTGATAGTCTACATCCAGCTAGCTTTGTTGTTTATGACAACTGCTGCTATGTGCTTCATTTGCATAATTATATGCAACTAGGAATAAGATGCTAAACTGAATTTGGCAGAAGCGCCACGTCAATACGATGGGGGCCTAAGAATATGTATAGAGTAGGCGAACACTTTTTTAATTTAAGAATTTAATCCACTTGTGTAGAGCGCGACAACCTATAGAAGTACTATTACATGAGCGCCGGTGCCGAACCTGAATAGAATTCATTTGTACGCATAATCGATTAGTGTTCGTGCATGTGCGTGACGTCAACCATGTTTACCTGTTAAAGATGGATACGTCTGCCATAAACACGTCTTTGTGCCACTGGTTTTAGAACGAAACTTCAACACCCTTAAGAATATTCTAGGAACTTTGATATTGGTGCTCCATTACTGATAACAAGACACCTAAAGCTGAGAATATTTACTGATAGAATAAGCTTAGCGCTCCAACTAGCAGGACTAATCAATTAACTAAATAGGCAAGTAGTACACTTATGTCTTATGTCTTTTTTTATAGTGGTGGAGGACGGGTTGCGAGCTAACCATGGTTTTGTTGGTGTAGCCCGAATGCTGACGGATTTCTTAGATCGTCAGAAAGTTAATGTTTCTGTAGTGACAAGTAAACACATCTTCTGACTGGTACTGAAACAGGTGGTAAATATGACAAAACATTTCAGCGTAGTGGCGGCCGATGTCTCATGATTAGGAGTACGCATATTTTTTACTGTTTTTTTTTCTTTGGGATATGTGGTGTCTTAAAGCTCATCCTCACCGAAGACGGGGCGGCCAAAGCAGCCAGGCGGAAATGCGGAAAGCGGGGAAAAACGTCCTTTCCGGGCAGCGAAAGCGAGCAGAAAACGAGGTGACAAGTGTATTTGCTCCTGGAGCATTTTTTTCTTTTGCCACCAACCGAGGCTGGCCATTTTGACGCAGCAAATCAGAACGCCACGTGGTAGAGGCGCAGTGGTGTGGCTTTGGCCATGGCTTCCGAGATGTTGGGCGCGCGGCGGGTTTTCTCGGCCTTCCTAATCGCACGGAGAGAGCGTATTTCCAGAGGTTGGCTGGCCAACTCTTTTCAACGCACCGCGGCGCTTCTTCGTATGGTCGAAACAACGTATGTCTCGGGCTGTCAAGGTGGATGGACGTGTTTTTTGAGCGCTCCTGATCGACTGCGCAGATAAGTGTTTTTGCATGTTTTGAGCTTGTCTTTATAATTATAAGGCAGCGGTTGAAATCTTCGTAGCACCTATTTTATGGTACGGCTTTTTCGGGGGCCAGTCACCAGGTATTTATTGGTTAGTGCGGGTGTGTGTGTTTGAATTTTTTTGTTGTTTTTTTTCTTTTGCCACTCCGTGGGGGAGGTGCGCGTACATTGAACACGCAAATTTTTGTAGTAGAGCTTAGACTTTCTTTTTTTTTCGTAGTGCAGGGCTCGAGTTTTGTAATTATTGAGTATAGGGACAATTGGTGTCAGAAAGGCATGGTTAAAAAGACTGTAAAGTGTTCAGGATGTGGAGTGGGTTTGCAAGTGGACCCAAGCGTAGAAGCGTATGGAGAAGAGGCCGACGCGAAGTGTAGGCAATGTGAGGTCGAGGAAAAAATGGAGAAAATGATGGTTGCCCAGAGTGAACTGCTGATGACAATCGCCGAGCTCGAGACTGCGTTGGCGAAAGAGCAAGAGAAAACGAGGGCTATAGAAGAAAGGCTGAAGTCCGCCGAGGAAGCACTAGCCAAGGTGAACAAAAGGTAGGCCTACAGAGCGAACAGTAGGGTACCGGCAACCAGAACGGTGGAGAAGGAAAAGCAAGCAAGTTTGGAAAAAACAGGTTTAGCCGGTTCAATTGTCGCAAGGCCCAGCTTCAACGAAGTAGTGGTGGGGCTGGGAGGGGATAAAGCAGCTGGTGTCACGGGTGAAAGTAACCCCCAGGTGCAGAACGCTCCAGCTGAAAAGTCACAGCATGTGATAATTGCCGGGGACTCGAGTTTAAATCGATGCACAGAAGCCATCAAAGAGAGGGTAAGAGGTGACAAGAGGGTTGCAGTAGGGGCGTTCCCAGGACGCAAGCTGGAAGCAGTCATGAGGCAAGCGAGCGCAAAGCTCAAAACGACAGCTGATGGACGAAACCTCGTGATAATTCCAGGCGGTTTAAACGATGTCCTAACTGAGGATGCAGCAGGACTAGCAGCCACACTGGCGAAAGGCGTCGATGACATGCGCGCCACTTCTCCTAAGGTACAGGTAGTGATATGCACGATACCGGTGGTACCGGTGCGTGATAGCAACCTGCAAAGAGCGGTGGTCGACGCGAACCAAGAGATATGGCGGATGAGTCGAGAGAAAGGCTTTGAGGTGGTGGAAATAAACAGAGAGGTGCATAGGTGGGGGGGTTTTCAACGAGACA